GGGCTCCTGGGGCACTGTTACGGTTTCCTTAGGAGTGCAGGCTTAGAGAGACTGCCCAACCGACCGCCCAAGTGAGCTGGGGTAGGCAAAGGCTGCAACCTCAGTTTCTCGAGACTTAGGGCAACTCGCCTTGGTCCCACACAGCTCTCATTTTGGGAAACTCTCCCTGTTTTCCAGGAGCCGCGGCCATCTCAGGCCTGAAATCTCCAGTTCAGAGGTCCTTGCAGTGTCCGCGCCTTGCGTCTGAACGCACGGCGTTTCCGTGGTATTTCCAAGCCTCCAGGTGTCTCCTTCAGACTCATCCGGCGGCCTTAACAGCAGCTGTTTGCCCGTCAGGACTAAAAGCAAAAAAAGAGCTAAGTGCGAAGCAGAAAAAGATTGGAACAGCTAGATTTCCTCCATTGCTCCTTGCCCAGCAGCCCCACCTCATCCCCCAGGTTTATGACTTTCGAAGTCTGGCAGGCGAAGTCTTAAGCAGGGAGCTGGAGGACGGGAGGGAGGTGGGGGGCGGGAACGAGCCTTGGCGGGTGAGAGAGAATGGCGAGGCAGCGTTTGGCGGAGAAGCTGAAGGCGAGCTCTGCCAATGCCGCCGACCGCCCAGGAGATGGCGAGCGCGCTCCACGCCTGGCGCGGCGCCGCCGCACGGTCAAGATCAACAGTGAAGGGCGGTGCGGCGGCCTGGGGTCGCCAGCCCGCGCGGTCACGGCCCGCTGCCAGGCGCGGCGGACAGTCTCGCGAAGCCAGAGATGGACCGCAAGGCTGCCCGGGGCAGCGGAGCCCAGCGACCCAGCGGGTTGCTAGAAGCGTTGCGGCAGCCCCTTTGTCTGGGCTGGAGTCCCGGCTCCAACGCTTTCTCTGCCTCTCGAATCAAGCACAGACGCGCGGGCCTCAGTTCCCCACCCGCAGCGCTGAAAATCTGGCAGGTTTCTGTGCAATTTTCCCAGCGGTTTCTCAGTCTCTAACCAGAAGAAAGTTCTCTCCCCAAACTCTTTGCCTAGCCGGCTTCCAGTGGGCCTCCCTCCAGAGCCCAGGCCACTTTCCCATCCTCTCTGGCTCTCCGCAATTCGGAATATGAAAAGAACACATATAAATAACAAAGCCTTCATCTGTTATTGATTTAGCCGTCAATCCAGATTCCACCAGAGAGCATTTGAGCTCAGTTTTAATCTTCAGCTAACCTCCCATTTCTCTTAGGCGGAGGGAAATTGACGTGCAAAATACAGATGAAAGAAAAATCTCAGCGCAGACCCCTGCAATCCACGGTGGGAAAACTGAGAGAAGGATCCGGGAAACGGAGAGCGGCCTGGGAGTCTGGAACTTACAGAAAAGAAATGAGGGGAAGGGGCGGACGGCGACTGGAAGAAAGAAAAATAGGCTTGTTTCTGATGAAAACACAACCTGTGGGAAAAGTGCTAAAAATCTTTGCGACCCTTCCCAAAGTGTAAAGTCGGGAACGGTTTGGCCCCATTTTCAAGGATTTTTCTTCTGGAGAGATTTAATCGCGGTTCTATCTTTGCGTGTCTCTGTCTGGCCCTCTCTCTCTAAACGAAATAGGCTCTCTTCAGTCGGCAGTAATATATGAAAAAAATCAAGCTGGGCCAGAGAAAACGAAAGTACTTCCCAGAACTGTAGGTCCCTGTGATTTCTCGCAGAACCCTAGGGAACCGTCCTGCCAGAATTTACATACTGTGCGAGATTTTTTTAAAAAATCTGTGTTTGGAGCTAACTTACGTAACAAAAAGTTAACAGCCATTACATTTACCAGGAGCTCACAACTGGAGTGAGGACCCAGGTTCCTCAGTGGCCATTTCTGAGTGGCAAAAAAGGCCTCAAAGAGAAAGTTAAGAGTCTAAAAATTGTGACTAGCAGTTAGGATGTATATTTGTGTTTCCAGTTGTCAGTTGCTGTGTGCAGACCGCCCAGGGAAGAAGAGAAGAGATAAGGCTGAAATGTTTCTTTTTCGATTGCCAAATATGGATATGGCTTTCTAATTTCAAGACCTTTGTAAGCGAAGATCTTTATAACGGGCCTTTCTAGGTTGAAAACTTCCAAGGGAGTGTTTTCCTACACTTGGGTACACTAATACTTACCTATTTTTAAAATAAATAAAACTTTTAAAATAAATTCAGTATATTGAAAGAGCAATAACATTTTATTGGAGATGTTGTTGAGCTGGTGTGGTTAAAAAAAAAAAAAAAAGACATTTTAGACATGGCAAGTGATACCCTCTTAAAAACATCACTTCTGTGAAAGGAGTGGAGACCAGACTCGGAGCGCCAGGCGCGAAGGTTTCAGAGGTCAGAGCTGGTGCTGAATTTCCTTCATCTATAGAGAACTTCGTAGTGTTCAGGATAGCAACATTTTATAATAAATAAGAATAGCTTCTAGAGGCCACACAAGCTTGAAAGAAAGAGAACACATATGTATAAAGACTCAGAGGATAAAAGAGAGTTCTGTTTATTTGGCTCTCCCTAGGAGTAAAAAGTGATTTTTAAATGCCTGAAGCACTGTTTGTGTATACCAGCTCACAGACATTGCCTCTACAAAAATAATCTCTCAGTTGTATAAATATGCAGCACTTTAAAAGTAGTTCTTTAGCATCCCTTTCAGAGGTGTCTTTTTTTCCTTCTTGAACCTTATGGCTTCATATTTTTCAAATTTGTTAGATGTTTTAAAGCTCTTTGAGAAGCCCAATGCATTCATTCAGATATTTAAATTCTTCACTGGGTTCTGAATAAAGTTCTCACCCATGGCCACAATGGTTCAGTCTCTGCAGAGACCGAGGGCCTTGATCCTAGGAAAAGAGTGCATTTATATCACCCATGGGTTACTATGCCAATTGCAATTACTTAAATATCTTTATCTGGACTCTGAGAAATGAAGGCATCCATGAAGTCATATTATTTTCAAATTAAAGGTTAAAAAATTAAAAGCACAAATTACGAGGTATGTTGCAAATATACAACTAAAACAGCAAGTGAGGGATCCAAAATTGGGAAGATTGTCTTCATTCCAATACCGATGCAAACACTAATAAGGTAGCTGCTTTTAGAGCCATCACAGTGCCTACAGCCTCCTGTTCTTAGATGTTCTCCATGACCCCAGAGCACAGACTGCCTAGAGCTGTTTCATTTGCCTCAGGGCAACTGCTGAGAGCTAATGATTCAATTACCCAATCACAGGATATGAATGACTGCAAATCGTTCTGCCCTAATGGATTACGAAGATAATCAGTTCTGGAAACGGACATATAAAGTGATTTTTAAAAAGTAGAACTCTTCAATCAGAATGGCACTTCTTAAATTCATTTTTGGGGGTGGATTATTTAAAGAAAATACTTCAAGTCCTTTATACTGGCCTGGAGGGAGAAACAGAACATTTAAAACATCATTAAAAAAATAAACCTAGACAAAAACAAAACCAATAATAAACAAGTAAGAAACAGAACTACAAAGTCAGGTTGGGCAGCAAAGGTTTTAGAGCCAGGTGAGGATTAAGAGAGAAAAACAATTCACAAAATTTGCCATGATCGGCAGGGGTGTAGGGGGGGAATTAAATACATATTCAAGTCTTTCCAAAGGTCTTTTGGAGACAACTGAAAGCAATTAAATTGTGGTCAACTTGGCCCACATCAGGAGACAGTATCTTTCAGCTTGGAGACGATTTTCTTATCCTTCACTCTTCGGTTCTGAAACCAAATGGTCACTTGTCTCTCAGATAGGTTCGTGGCAGCTGAAATCCGCCGCCGCTTGTCCTTGTTAATGAACTTGTTAATGGCATACTCGTTCTCCAGTTCTTTGAGCTGCAGTTTGGTGTAAGGCACCCTTTTTTTCCTTCCCCGTCGGTAGACACACATGTCTGGCTGATTTAAAGCCACATCCCCTGGTACAAACAACAGCATGGGAAAAATTAGACTGGGATATCTGGAGTACCTAGCTGAGAACTGTGTGCATACGTGTCTGCGTGTGAGCAAGTGCTTGGTGGAATATAGAGAATAAAAAAAAAAAAACAGGCTGTTTACACTTTATTGTTATTTACACAGTCATATTACTTACACATTATTAAAGAAAGGCTATTTGCACTTCAAAACAAAGGCTAATTTGATGGATCATCACGGTTTCTTAAACAGGCATCTTAACAAGCCTGTGATTTTATGGCCTGAATATTGGGGACACTCATATGGATGCTTTCTGCAGATCCAGCTGCTTACATTAAAACACACACACAGAGTCAGATCTTTTGCCCACGCTTTGATTCCTGTATTCCTGTGTTTGGAATTTGTGGGCTCTAAGAAGGTTTACTAGTCACCCCTTGCATAGCTCTTCAAAGGTGGGGCCCCAACTCTGTGACACCCCTTAGGAAAGAGGCCTCTTCAGCAGAAAGACCTCAGCAAAGGGCATCCAAAGGCCCTCAGTTTAAGGAGAAAAACGCAACTGCACCACACAGAAGGAGCAAAACACTGTGAGGCCGTTTGTTTATATGGTAAGCGGATTTTACAGATTTCACAAGAAATGGACCAATTTATCCACTGGGTTAACCCTGACCAGGTGTGGAGCACAGGCCCCCACTCCCAAATAGAAACCCACACTCCCAGTTCTTTCTTTTCTCCTTCTCTCTCTCCCTTTCCCTTCTGTCCTCCCTTTTTCTCCATTGCCCCTACCTGGAAAGGATGATTTCCAAAAGTGGGACCCTTGCGGCTGGTCCTTGGCACAGTACACCTGGCTATTCCACCCGTTGGCCAGCGTCCAGGACTGGTAGCCCTCCATGGAGATGTAGGCTTCGTGTCGAGGCTCCCCAGAGCCGAAGGTGGACACCATGTCGATGTACCCGGGTACGTGCTGGTAGGGGCTTGTGTAGCCCTGGTAGAAGGACACCTCCTTGGCTCGCGCAGGGACCTCGTTGGTCGGTACACTGCTGCTCGCCAGCCCGGACACGTCCATGTACTTCTCCACGGGGAAGCCTCCCAGCGAGGCATGCGGCGACGACTTCAGCGCATTCTGCTGCAAGCCCACGCCGTGCGACATGCGGCAGCTATAGTAGCCGTTGCCGAAGTGGTAGCCGTAGCCCAGCGCCGGCGCGCCCGGAGGCGCTGCAGCAGCGGCTGCCGCGGGCGCAGGGCACTCTTTGGTGGGGGGAGCCTCGGGGCGCGCGGCGACCACGGCCGAAGACGACGACGACGAGGCGGAGCCCGTGCGCTCAGAGGTCCCCGGGTACGCGAAACTGGAGGCCGCCGCGG